AGAGCGTGAACACACACACACACACACACACACACACACACACAGGAGGAGCGTGTGCGTTTATGAGTGCATAATGACCTTTGCTAAGGGCTCACGGAGATGGAGGAAAACAGACTGAAATGAAAAGTCTCCTCTAGGGTGTTCATTAGGTGCAGGTAAATCTGACAGCGCATTAGACACATTCCTCCCGAATAAGTTTCAAGACGAGCAGCACCTCTCCAGGAGCAGGAATGAAAATGTTCCTCTTTAGTAGACGACAAAAACAAAACGGATTACATGGAGTGTCTTTAGAATTACTCGCAACTGAAGTAAAGGCAATTTATTTCTCTCACTCTTAGAGTCACAATGACACAGAAGTAGCGACAGAACTTTTCTTCCATATTGTGATGAACATCTAAGTGAAACAGATTATTGAAAAAGGAAGAAAAAAATGTAGGGCAGGACTTGCTGACATACATTAGTTGTTATAAGCAGATCTGAATACAAGCTTGCAGTCACTTATAGTAAAGGGGCAGTGTTTTTTGCAGAATAAATCATTGCAGAAGTCCTGCATGTGTCACCAAGGAAAAGTTGTAAAGTTATGACATTTTAATTCAAATTATGAGCTCAAAAAGTTTTTTTTTAAGAAATCAAACTTATGCATGGATGAACTATTCACAATCTATAACATGCATTTAGAAAATAGGGTGAATTTTCATTTTATGCCAATTTTAAAGTAGTCTTGATTAAAAAGCGCCTCCAAAACACCAGGGAAACTTTGGAGAAGTCAGTCATAAAGAATGACATGAGGGTGAGTAAACGATGACAATTTTCATTTTTGGGTGGACTATCCCTTTAAAACACATCACGTGCTTAAGTTGGGACAACCACATCCAAGCCCAGTGTTTTCCAGCCTAGATAAGATAAGGATATGGTCATGTCCAGATATCACTGAAACAGTGGAGTATACAAGTCGACTGGAAATAAACAAAACTGCAGCAGCCTTGCTCTCTTTCTCACTCTCTCTCTGCAGAAATGCAAAGACGCCCCTCTTGTTGTGGTGTTAGTTTCACTTCTCGTGATATTAAAAGGAACACAACAAAGGTTATCTCTCTCTCGAACCTCTGTTCCAGGAAGTTAAGAGTAAAGTGCGAAACTTATGAGTCATGACTCTGCCCGAAACTGTCAGCCTGCCCTCGTTGGACTACATTCCTACACATCAAGTAGTTTGGGATTAAACGGGACGTTCTATTTTGCAAAGCGGTCACGAAGAGTGCGATTAAGTTAGCTTAATATGTGAACTCACGGAGGAGGGAAAGTACTAATAGAACATCACAGACTCTCTTCCTCCCCGTGACGCCGTCGTCCCTGCCGGAGCCCCTGGGCGACCCTGCACACTCAGCCATCATTAGATCAAAGACCGTGGGCGCCGCGCTCTTAATACGAGCCTGTAATATGTGCGCAAGCAGGGCCGCGCTCTGTTCAGCGATGTCACAAAGGTGCTTCATTAAGGGCTCCTCTTCTGGCAGCTTTCATTAAGGAAATTAATGTGGAGGGGCGAGGACAGCCTGCGATTATGCCGCGAGAGAAAGCCGGCGCGCACAAAGAGGAACTACACAATAACAAATCTGCATCTCTTTGGAGCGTCGCCCCCAGGGCCTATCATCCCAGCCTTCTTAATCACCATTAAAACAACTTCATTGTTACATTCAGAGCCTGCTGAATGATCCCATCCCCACATAGAGAGCAAATTGCAAATGAAATGTAGAGATTAGACGGCATCAGAGCATAGCCTCTGGGAGGCTGAGCAAATCTTCAATTCTCTTTTATATTGATGTTTATTGGCGGAGGCAGCGGGGAGCAATAACGTCCCTCTCCTTCTCCGTCGCCCCTGCTATTTGAACCCACTTATTCGGCGCTCGTGCGACGCCTGACATTTTTTATGGCCAACTACCTCGTGCGCTGCGTCCTCGTTCACTTCGCATAGGTTCGCCGGGGGTTGCCGCCGACCCCGCGGCTCCTTTTGAAAGGGCTACAGGAGGTTAGCCGAGCCCGCCTTTTTCCTCAGCGCAGTGTAAAATGCCTCCAGGAAAGTATTTTCTCTAAAGCCGACGCTTAGGCTGAAAGTTAGCTAGGAACAAGTGGGAGTGAGGCGGTTCTGTAGCAAAAGGAAAGGATTGTCTTGTAGCGCTTTCCTCTGATGTGGCTTTACAGGAGTAGCAATTGCCTGAGCAGCCTTATCAGCCCAGGGGGACTAATGCTATTAGCGTTTGTGTGATAAACGCAGCACAGTGGAACCAATACAGCCAGCTTTGCCGCGTTACTCTGGTAACATGTTGTGTAAATTGTATAATACAGAGCTCTGCGACAGCTCTGTTTAACAACACTTCTATCCTGTAGTGCAGACTTGTGAATAGGATTAGACCTATAAGCTAACAGGGGCGAGGGACTCAGAGAGGCCTGCGGTGTCATCGGGATGTCATGTGTCAAGTCACTCTAAGAGTAAGGCCTATAAAATCAGAGAACAATCTTAACATGGTATTTTATTGCATCAGTGGTCGGAAACCTTAGGCACGCATGTCACCATTGGCAAACAAGTGAAAATAGTGACAATGTTATATGATTATAATTTTATTTAACTGTTTAAGAATGTTCAGTAAAAATAAGCTTTGACAAGAAAATAAACATCCATTAATCCATTAATTAAAGCTGCAGTCCGTAACTTTTTTTGGTTAAAAATGATCCGAAATCAATATTTGAGCAAGTCCATAACTAGCCAGTGTTCAAAACTATCGCCTTACTTTAGCCCGATTCACAACGGTTAGCTTATAATAATGTTTTCTAATTTGAATGGTACGAGTAGGTTTTCACTGGAAATTCGAGCATGCTGCTGCATCATTATGTAAACATAAAGAAGTTGTCCCGGCTACTAGGCTATCACATGTGAGGATGCTGCAGGTGGCGGATCGTTTATAGCTTTTTCTCACAGCAGCCAGAATATTTAAATGTATCATTTCGATGGCGGATTGTAATCCAGAAAATTAGACTGTACAGAAATTGAAATCTACACGCTAATACACACTACAGGCAATGCTGATGTTGTTAGCATTAATAATTTGAGTATAAAGTATAACAATAATAATAATTTGCACGGTTTGATGTGATATGAGCTAACAGATCTTTAGATTAAATCACCATTGGTAGTGCGATTTATTGTAATGCTTTTTTCCTCAGTTGGTCAGAACAAACGTGGCAGACTTGTTAATTACTTGTTCAGATGCCAATATATGGTGAAAATTCCTATTTGGGTCATATATTCCAAGACGTAGGCTAGAATCTGTGATTGCGAAGTACAGTAAATATCCACACCGGTGCGGTGACTGACTGCCAGACATACTCCTCAAAACTTTCGATTCATTCGCGCTGGAGCCATGCCGGAGCACAACCCACACAAGGAAGATAATTCCACAAACAGCTGCAATTGCAGGTTTTCAAACAGAGATGGCGACAAAGAGGCAAAACTTACGGACTGCAGCTTTAAATACTGTCAGAAAAAAAAAGAGACTGATTTATACAATCGCATTAAATAAAGTCAAATTAACAGCAAGATGACATACCATTCAAAATATGTTTCTTTAAAGAAACTAATACTTTAATTAAAATGTAATTTAATTAAACGTATGAAGTGACAGTAAAGATATTTATAATATGAAATGTTATATGTAGTTCTATTATAAATACATGCTGTTCTTTTGAACTTTCTATTCAAAGAATCCTGAAATAAAAACACCAGAATTCCACAAAAAATACTGAGCAGCACAAATGTTTTCAATATTAATAATACTAATAAGAAGAAATGGTTTTGAGCACCAAAACAGCATATCAGAATTATTTCTGAAGGATCATGTAACATTAAAGAGTGGAGCAATGGCTGCTAAAAACTCAGCTTTGCCATCACAGGAATAAATTACATTTTAAAAGATAATAAAGTAGAAAACAGTTATTTTGAACTGTAATAATTTCAATATATTACATTTTACTGTATTTTTTGATCAAATAATTGCAGCCTTGGTGAGCATTTCTTTCAAAACCATAAAATTACCAACTCCAAACGTAAACGAACAAAAATGTGACTTTATATCAAGATATAGTTGAGAGGGAGGAAAAACTGGACGCAGACCGGATTCAAACTTTTGTTTCTTGCATGAGCACCAAGGCTCAACTAGCTGGTGTGTATCTGCAAACTGCTGGGCCAAACCACTTCAGGGTTTTTGCATCTAAAGGTCATGTACTGTTTACCTCATTGTTTTTCCAGGGTCTCCAGAGCGTTGCAAGGGCAGCCGCTCATTGTGTTCCCGAGAGATTTAAATAATGTCCAACCTCGACAGAATTCATTGTAACAACACTGTGAAATTCAATGAATCAAAATACAAAAGGCAATAAAAGGCGAATTATCCTGAACAAATGGAACTTAGCCGAGACTGGGCACTGGCGGACTGTAAAGCGAGGAATGCCGTTCTGGCAGGTGCAATGAAGAGCAGGAGAAGAGCATAAACCGCTCAGCCTGTCCCCTTTACATTCCTGCCGCCCCCCTGCTTTCTACTTCAAACCCCGCTGGTTTAATCAGCTACAACTGTTATGCTTTCCCCACTATTCGGTTAAACTTATCCACTCCACAGAAAGATCCCCCACTACTCAGTTACCATAGCAATGTGACTGCAACAGCCCTTTGGATTCAAATTCTGCATCTGAGAGATAGGAGGTCATTGCCAAGGGCGAATTCATTTCACACTGAGCAACATCGAAAGCCGCCAGAGAAAACGGCATTCTATTCTTAAGATGACCTTGTTTGAGGCTATTCACTAATATTTACAGAGGAAATCTATCAACATCATTCCAACTGTAAATAACTAAAAGTGTTTCTGGGGGTTGTGTTATTTCTTTTTAACACAAGACGGTCCTGATCTAAAAGCGTGATTATGAAAACCTAATTCCGAAGAGATGAAAACTGACCCACGCACCTTTGGTCATTACAGTTCCTTCTTTGCCTTGGGTGAAGACAACAATCCTCTGCCTTTTCTTGTTCTCTTTGGGTAAGCTTTGGGCCTTCTTTGCAATCTCCTCAATGTCTTCAGTCTGCACGAGAGAAAAAATAAAACACATACTTGAGGGTAAGAAGCTAATATTAAGTTCTTCCAGATCAGATTAGATTTACTTTAATTCTGCACCTTGTAAAACATGCACCTGAGTCATCATCATACCTACTGAGCATGTTTAGTGACTGCAATTGCCAACTACATCTCACTCAGAACGGCTGTTGCGTTGAAATGCTAAATGTCATGTGTAAATCACATCACTCATGACTCACGTATTCATTCCAATGAAATGTTTAAATGCTAACAAGATACTAAAATGACGCATGTATCGCTCAGTGGCTTTAAAGCAACCCAACGATGTATTCAGTCTTCTGGCTTTTGAAGTGCTACATCTGCAATACGCCGATTTTCTTTCAAGAAAAAAGTTAGACATTCAAACAGTTGTTTCGACATAATGGGAGAGAACCAATGCTTGAATAAACAAGTTCAAATGTAACTGATTGTCAACAAAAACAGAAAAAATGGCAAAACTGATGTTCTGAAAAGAAATAATCTGATACAAACGTAGGATCTAGCATTCAAATGCTTCTTTAGGACTAAATGAGGCAGGCAGTCATTCAGAAATTGTTTTGGAGAGAATGCAAATAGATTTACTATATACAAATATGCATTTGTGCATATTTGTGTAGACATAGACAACAGTAACATGTATATTATCTCTGTATATTAAAACTATATTTCTGTGGATTTGAGGTTTACTAGTTAACAGTCAGACTGACTGACTGACAAAGCACAATTGGTTGCAAACTGTTTGATTCACTAAAAAGAATCATTCAAAAGAAACAATCATTCAGAGTCATTCATTTGGGAACTGGCAGAGCTGTATGGGTTTGATTCATTACAAAGAAAAATAATCAAATTCAGACTACACAGTATGTTTTTAATTCATTTAGAACCACCTCATGAGAGTCATTCGTTTGGGAATCGGACAACACTGGTCGCACTGTATGCTTTTGATTCAATAAGAACCGGCTCATAAGAGTCATTCGTTTGGGAATATGACTACAATAGTCACGCTGTATGTTTCTGATTCACTAAGAACCAGCTAATAGGAGTCATTCGTTTGGGAAATGGACTACACTGCTCGTGCTGTAGATTCTTAAGCTGTTTTGCTATAGTGCAGGAAATTCTGTCAGAATATTTTTGTATGGTATGTACGGAATGCCCATACAAGAACCATTAATACCTTCAAACATAATTTGGCTCAGGGTTTTTCTTTCATAATCTCTTTCTCTTTCATAATACTGTTGTGGAACAAGCCAGTACTACTACTGCTACTACAATAATCCAAGCATGTTCATGAGGATGAACAGAATTGTTTGTTGAATATGACTAAGCACTTCTAATGAATCCAGTAATAGAGATGCTACAAACAGAACATATTTTGTCTAGAAAAGCATTAAATAAAATAGTAAAATATACCTATAGCAGCTGATAGTACATGCTAAAAAACCTGCGCCTCCTGATCTGACCTTTCTTGTATTGCACAGCTTACTTGTTTGTCCAGTACAGTCTGCTGTTTAAGTGGACTCCAAGCAACCTGTAGAACTACACCACCTCCACGCTCTCTCCCTGGAGCCTCGCAAACTTCTGCCTGCTGGTAAAATAGTCTATGATTTAGGAGATTGTGGAGGCGTTCACCGGTATCGCGCTGAGCTTGTTACCAAGTCGGAGAGGCATGTTGAGGGCACTGAAGAAGTCAAAGTACAAGATCCTGATTGGGGTGCCAGCTTTGACCAGGTGGGAGTGGGCTCCAAGCAGGCAGATCAGAGCACTGTCCACACCTACAGTAGGTCCAATAGCCAATATTTATGCATTAAATAACAAAAAATGAATTCAAATGGCATCTGCAAATAAATAATACTATAACTTCCATATAACTTCTATATATATTATTATATAATAATATATATATTGTTTTTCAGATATATAATTTATTCAATGTATAAATTAAATATTAGTATAGAACTAACAGTTAAGTGTGTATGTGAGTGCTTGATGTTTAGGGAATTGAGTGAGATCATCTGCATTTCCTAGTCCTCACACCTCCCAGCTGGCACTGGACAGAAGGAGCTGGGGTGTGTGTATGTGTGTTTGTGTGTGTGTGGAATGGGTGGTGCCGGTGCTGGGGGGTGGGTTGGTCTAAGGGGTTGAGTGCTGGTGGTTCGATACCATCCCCCCACCTCCAGTCACACAAAGCACCAATAAGAGGGTCTGAGGCAGTCCAACCCTGCCAAAGCTTTGAGTCTGTCACATGTCCACTCGTCCCACTGCCAAAAGCAGTCTAGAGAGGCTGCTTGGCCATGGCAGCCACCAGCCCTTGACAGTTTTGTTAATGGCGAGGTAGTGTGGTGTCCCAGGCAGGCCCAGCTGCCTCATCACCTCTGTCTCCCTCCACACTCGACTAAAAGGGTCAGCTTTCCTGCAGTCTGGCCAATCAGCAGAGCGCCGAACGGATTCAGTCAGCTTACTGCAGCACTTGCTGTTCAAGTTATTGACTTTGGTGTGAGTTTACACTGCCAGGCAGTTGTTTTCGTTTGTATTTGTATTGCAAGTGAAATTGGCTCAGTGATTCACGTTTTTCAATAACAGGACACTAAAGGTGCGGGCAAAAAAGGTCTATTTTCTATTGTCAATAGAGAAGCAATATAGGAAGCACAGCTCACACAGAAGACACAAACATTTTTGTGACCAGTTGAACCCAATGTGAAATCTGCATTGGTAATTCCCAATCATATTGATTCCTATTGAAATGACTAGATTTCGAGACCTTGCAGCGCTTCGACATGTACAGTCGTGGCCAAAAGTATTGGCAGTGGCATAATTTTTTTTGCAAAATTTACAGCTTAAGCTGTTGTGGTGTTCATTCACATTGTTTCTAGATTATGTTACTGCCAATACTTGTAGAAACAATGTGAATGAACACCACAACAGCTTAAG